CGACACGGTTGAGCTCTTGGCTATGGCGGACTGGGACTTCACCACTGGGGCGGACGAGGACTTGCCTATCACGCCGGAACCTGACCAGGAGAGCGTGGCGGAAGATGTGGTATATGGTCCTCTTCTCCTACCCCTCCCTCTGTGTGTATGGTATATGGCTGGCTGTGCTGCCCTGTGTTGGATGTGCTTGATTGCAGGAAGTAACCCTCTGATGAGCCGGATAAGTGGCGACGGCGAAAAAGCTTTTAGGGGATGCCACGCCCCTCCTGCTGCGTATGTTTTTCCAAGAAGGGCGGCCGAGCTACCAACGGTCTTCCTCCCAGACATTCTGCCTTCACCGATAGCTTTACCTGGCTCGATCTATGAAGTAACGGGACTGACCTGGATAGAGTGTGGATGAAGCGGAGGATATGGCTGCACTACAGCCGGGGTTCGCGGGTAACGAAACCGGGGTAATATGGGAACTGGATTTGTGGTTAAATCAGGATCTGAGGAGATGTATGGGCAGGAGCTGGTGCGCAGACAATAGAGGGAAGCATGAGATGATGATGGGGTGTGTCTGTTACTCGTGTTAATGAGTGGTGATTCACTTTGGTGACGTTCGAATGGTAATAGTGACTTCGCGACGATCACGTGCAACAAGGGATCGATGTTATGGCTGCCTTTACGAAGACTGTGAAAGTGTTTTTGATACTGGCGATCAATGTGTTCTGTATTGCTGTGCTATCAGTTTGGTTTTGCTTTTGAGCCGCTCTTGTTATATTTACGCCCCTCACTTTCCCTGCTTCTTCCCTCCTTTCACACTCATCTGCCTTGACTGCCCCGGTTTAGAGGATTTTCTGCCGCACCTTATCTGTTGGGAATGGACAAAATGTGTCCGGGCACTTCGGGTGGTAATCTCCATGGATTATCTATCCATGTATGACTACCGCTCAATGCCCGCAAGGCAATTGGAAGGCAAATAAAGCATGAAGGGATCGCTTCCCGGTATTAAAAGCCTGGGACAATCTTTCCTTGGTTTATTGCCTAATTCCTCTTCTCTCTAATCCCTTTTCCCTCTTTTCTTTTTTCTTCATGTCCTTTTTTTCTTTTTTTTTTTCTTTTTTCTTTTTTCTTTGTTTTCTTTCCCTTTTTCTCCTTCTTTCTTCTTTTCTTTTTTCCTTTTCTTTCTTTTTTTGTTCTTCCTTCTTTCAGCTACTATTGGCATATATTGCGTTTAAACAATGGAATTACTCTCATCCTAGTCATTCCCTACGAAAAAGGGGCAGCTCGGATTAGTGGCTATGTAACAGCGTGTGATGGGATATGTCTGAACCTGGTGTACCACTGTTATAGTGGAGTACATGGCGGAAGCGCTATGAGATTGAAGATCAACACACACACACACACACACACACACACACGCACACGCACCCGCACCCGCACCCGCACACACACACACACGGAGGAGGGGCTGATTCCCAAGTCTTCATTAATCCTTCCATATCCTATCATCTCTGTTCCTTTGCTCTGTCTTTGCTCTGTCTGTCTGTCTGCCTCTTTCCGTCCGTCGGTCAGTCCACACCTCAGTCCGTTTGTCGGTTCGTCTACCCACCGTCCATTTGTCCGTCCATGCACCCGTCGGTCTGTCTGTCTGTTCGTCTGGCGGTCTAGCTGTCTGGGTGTCTGGCTGTCTCTCTGTCTCTCTGTCTCTCTGTCTCTCTGCTGTTTGTCTGTCTGTCTGTTTGTTGCCTGCCTTTCTGCCTGCCTGCCCGCCTGCCGGCCTGTCTGTCTGTCTCTCTGTCTCTCTGTCTCTCTGTCTCTGTCCGTCCGTCCACCTGTAGGTCGGTCCGTCGGTTCATTGGCCTGTTGGTCCGTTGGTCTGTCGGTTCATCTCTCTCTCTCTCTCTCTCTCTCTCTCTCTCTCTCTCTCTCTCTCTCTCTCTCTCTCTCTCTCTCTCTCTATCTCTCTCCCTCTCTCTTTTTCTCTCCCTCTCTCTCTCAGGGCAGAGTCACAGTGGGATTGATGTGGCGCCTCGCTGTCAATCAACACCAACATGATTACTCCAATCTCCCACTCAGGCGAGTGTAGGCGCCTCGCTGTCAATCAACACCAACATGATTACTCCAATCTCCCACTCTTTCTTCTGCTGAGAGGAGACAGAAATATGCATGTATCATTCATGAATATTGAATCATTGTTGATTGAACTTGATTATATTCAGCTTACAGAAAAGAAGGCTTCAAGATTCCGGAACTTGTCAAGGTTTCAAGGCAGTGTGATGATGATCTCTGTGTTTCTGTTTTTTTTTTCCTTTCCTTCGTGTCTCAGATCTACCAACGATCAAAGGAAGCATATGAGGCGTTGTCGACCAAGCTTGGAAACCATGAGTATATGCTGGGATCAAGGTGAGTTTAGCTTGTTACAGGCTCATTTGTCTGCACTGGCAGGAGTTACTTGGAACTTGCGGAACGCATGGAACTCGCGGAAGTTCCTGTAGTCCTTGAGTAGAAAACACACGCGGATAGAATGTTTTGTCTGTTCGGTAATAAACCCTCTTTTTTATGGATATTGTTGTGTTTTGTTTGTAGCATGGTTGCCAACCGGAAGTCCGGATCCCGATCCAGACAGTTCGGTGTCCGGTTTGGAGGGTCCTGTTGGACCCTGATTTGAAGACATTTGAAGAAAAAATTTGGGGTCCCCAGCAGGGTTGCACCCCCCGATGGTCAGCGGCCCTTGACTGGTCGGCTGCCGACCTGCCTACCGATCGACTGGTTGGCAACTTGGCACCTACTGGTCGGGGGTTGTCCACAATCTGGTGGCCAACCAGCTATTTTAGGCCTGCCAGCAAGGACCTCAGGGAGTATTTAACGACGCAGTCAGGACGTCGTGGCCACCGAGTAGGTAGGATCGCTCTCAAGACTTACGAGCTCCTCACTGCTCTGCCTGGTTCGGTTGCACGCCGGTCAGTACCGGTCATGGGCTTAGCCGGGTTGTTTTACGAGCGCCTGCCGCTCATGCCCGTGCTCCCTACTGCGCAGGTAGTGCCTCCAGCTGCTGAGCTCCCACCCTAGACCTAAACATTCACAAGACTGCTGACTCTGAAAAACGAGATGACATCAACAAAATTGACTTGCAGCAGCCGTCATCAAGAAAGTTGCATGGAGAAATTCACGAAAATACACACAAAATTGACGCCCCCCGCTGGTCCTCACCACTTGCAGGTACGTGAATCTCGCTCCCTACCCTAATCTTCACCCCTTTTTCTTCAGCCTGCTACCACCGGTCAACCCCGATACTCCAATCACCCGCCGGCCTTATGCCTTGCCGGCTTTCTTCCACCACGGCGGTGCAACGGGCCCCAGCTCTCATACTATTGCAATGTACCTCGCAATATCAAACCAATTTGCACATGCAAGATGACAGTATTCACACGAAAGTCCACACCACACCGGAGAGATGACACATGAATCAGCGCCAGATGTGTTTCTCCTCAAAATTATGATAATATCTGAGTGAGGACGCCGCTCGGCCGGGCCTGCCCTGCCGGGCTGGGCCCAGCCGG